CCGCCCCTCGGGCCTCCCGCGGTTCTTGAAGGGGCACGTGTCTGAGGTACCTGACCTGCGCGGGGTTCGGAGGGGCACGGTGTCAGGATGCACGCCCCCGGGGACAGAGTAGTCATAATGGTCTGCGTTGCCCACCGCCCGGGCCCACCCTCCATCCCCGCTGCAGCGTCTGCTGCTGTTCGCGTTGTGCCGAGGTTGTCCGCCTGCAGGAGGCAGAGGTGGCTTCTCGCTGTGGTCCAGCCCGCGGTCTGGGCCATTGCACCAGGGACAGCCGCGGAAGCAGGAGCTAAAGGTGTGGTCGGTTAGACCCGGGACAGCGCCTGGGAACAAGCGAGCCCGGCTGGGCATCACCTCCTCCAGGTGGCGGCTCTTCCGATGCCCGTCCTGCCGGCGGAGTTGGGGGTCTTCTGTGGGCTCCCCTGAGTGTTGACACACGTGGGCCGTGCTAACCTTGTCGTGTTCCCTGCACGGGCCCCAGGGCCCGGCCGGGCCTAGAGTCGTCCATAAGCTTGTAAAAGCCGGTTTCGTCAATGAGTGACAGACCTACCGGCTGGAGAGGGCTGGGGAACTGGGAGCTTCTGCAGCAGGAAGCCTGGGCGTGGAAGGTTGGCGTGGGAGGCAGCAGGTGGTGCTGAGGACCCGCCGTCCCCCATGCCCACCTGTGCAGCCAGGTGTGGAGGCTCAGGGGTCAGCCAAGGCCCCCCGCTGTGGGCCTGGCGCTCTCAGAAGAATGGACCCATTAACTGTGGCTCTGAAGGGACATTCCTAAGGAGAGTGGAGGCCAGGCTGGCACAGGGTGTGGCATTACTCTGGGTCTGGAATGTGGTTGAACCAGTGGGTCAGGCTAGTTCCGGGCCCCAGACTCCGGCCTTAGGCTGCCATCTTTAGAGTTTTCTAGCATCTCTGACACCCCGACACCCTCTACCCCCTAAAAAGAATGCAAAAAGGCTTGACTAAAAATAAAATATTTATTGGGAAAGAGAAACATTGTTGAGGGCAAGGGCCTCAGGCTTAGGAGACGGGGGCCGCTGCTCTGTGGTTGTCCAGGTAGCGCCTCAGGGCTGTGGGGTAATCAGTCATGACCCCAGTGGCCCCCAGACTGTAGGCCACTTCAAAATCCGACTCTTCATTAAGGCACCAGAATACCACCTGAGCAGGGAGAGAGGCATCGTTTCCAAACAGCTTGACCTGGAACTCCCCATTGCACCCAGCTGGTCAGAGCTCTCTGTGGAGGCCTCCCCACAGCGGAATGCTGGGGAGCTCATTGTTCAGTTTTCAGAAATTTTTCAAATTGGTTTTGGACACACCCATTATTAAATATTAAATTGCATAAACTTGCAATTCCGTAAACCGTATTAAAAACAAAGGCAATAAAATCTAAAAACTCATCACTTCCTCATACTTCCATTTTACTATCACTATGCCCTGGAGATGATTTATGTCTGTCGAATGTGTCCGGTGGAAATACTCTGCAAGGATGTGCTACCTCACATCTCTTCCCCACTCCGTCCAGTGACTTCATACTGGTAGCCTGAAATCGGCCGAGGCAGTATATACGCCATGGAAAGCCAGTGGTGGGCTGTTTGCCAGCAGGCTGGCGCCACCGGCCTGCCCACACCTGCTGCTGCTCTCCCTGCCCTGACTCCTGAGTCCTCTCCTGTGGGCACCAACATAGGTGGGACCGGGATCTGTGCCCTGTGCAAGCCAGTGGGCCTCTGGGTTTCCTAATGTAACAGCTGAGCGTTAAGGTCCAGCCTCCTAGAGTTGAGGTGAAGCCCCCAGGAGTGGGAGGGCTCATCCTCAATTACCCTCGTCCAATCAGTGGCTGGTCTGTAAGCTCTTCCATCCATCCCCACTGTTACCACTGGAGCCCAAATCCTGTCCGTGGCAGCATCAGCCTCCTCATGAGACTCTGCTTCCACCGTGGCCCCCACCGTCACTTCGCCACACGGATGACCCTCACTCAACAAATCTCAACTGGGTCAGGGCTCTTCCCTCAAAAGCTTCCCCTCCCTTTGGGCAGAAGCCCAGGCTCCTTAGGAGGAGGCCCTCGGGTTGCCCTTCGCAGCCTCTGCTGCCTTCTCCAGCCCCCCTGGTGCCGCCTCCTCCGGGCTGCCGCGGCGGGAGCCCTCTCTGCTTCTCAGACTGCCAGCCTCTAGCTCCTCTGGGCCTCCCCACAGGAGCCTCCCGCCTGAGTGCTCTCCCTTGTCCGCCCCTGGAGCCAGCGCCTCACTTCTCCCAGAGGCCTTCTCTTCTCTGACCCCACAGGCACCGCACTTGCCTTTCCTGTCCACAAGCTGCCCCTGTGCTGGTGATGGCCTGCTTCCTTCCGCTCCTCTGCCCCGGTAAACTCCCTGCTCAGTACCGTAGTGCCCGTAGTGCCCGGAATATATGCTCAACCAAGGTTTGCTAATTAAATGACCTGGTCAAAGCGGAAGCTTGGGAGCGGGAGGAGGTGGGCAGGCTCCTGTTTCTCTTCTGTCTTTGCCCAGCCCCTCATCAGGGTCAGGACAGTTCAGTACATCACCATAATGGCTAGCATTTACCAGGCCCTTGCTAAGTACCAGTGACATACCCAGAAGAGCTAACTCTGTCATTATCCCCATTTACAGTGAAGAAACCAGGCTGTGAAGGTGACCTGCCCCAGCCGCCAGCCGGTCAGCAGCACAGCTGTGGCTGGAACGCTGTGCCAGCCCGCGCCGGGAACTGGGGTAGCGAAGCCTCACCTGCACTCCTCGCTGCTCCAGGTGTTGGATCAGACTTTTCCTCATGATGAGCCTGGTGGGGAGGGGGTGGCCAAGGTCAAGATGGGGGGGACTGAGGAGAAGGGCGGAGGCAGGTCTCTTTGGGGACACTCCACCCAGCCGTCTCGCCCACCTCACCATTTAGTAACCACGGCTGTCAGCTTGTTCAGCCCCGAGCAGGAGAATGGGAAGTAGGTCCTGTGGAGAAGGGGTGTCGTGGTCAGTCCATGGGTCTCTCTCCGTCACGGGGGTGGAGAGTGGGGGTGGTTGTGATCCCTGACCAGTGAAACCTACCTCCCTCTAAAAGAACCTTTGCAGCCCTGGCTAGTTTGGCTCAGTGGATAGAGTGTTGGTCTGTGGACTGAAGGGTCCCGGGTTCAATTCCGGTCAAGGGCTCGATCCCCAGTAAGGGGTGTTCAGGAGGCAGCTGATCAGTGATTCTCTCTCATCATTGATGTTTCTATCTCTCTCTCCCTCTCTGAAATAAATTTCAAAAATTTTTTAAAAAAAGAACCTTTGCAGTTGCCCGGACAAACAATCCACCCTTTGTTCAGTGAGATCTACTCCTACATCCTTGACTCCATGCTTTGAGGGTGTGCCCACCCCTCACTGTTTTTCAGAAGCGGAAACTCAGTCTTGGAGAGTTTGATTAACTTGCCCGAGGTCACGTGCAAGGCTGTGGTGGGGCCAGGGCGGAAACCTAGCTAGCTTCCCCAGCTGGACACAGTCTGGAGGTCCTCCCGGTTGGGCCTGACCAGCTTCTGAGAACAGACAGCGTTTAATGGGTCGGCTACTTGCCCCTGCTTGCCCCACTCCAGGGGAGACTTCAGAGCCCCTCCACAGTGTCCCAGGGCAGGCTTGGGAGTCAGGCCCAGGGCAAGCCAGGCCCCGGACTTCTAGCTGTATCACCTCGAGCAAGTTACAGAAGCTCTGAGCCTCAGATTCTCCATGTTCTGTGGGTCATGATTCCTATAACTCCTGGGGGTGCTGCCAAGTAAAGCTCAACTGACGAAAGGATGTGGAAACACTGTAAATCCTGCATAAAAATTCTATACACAAAGTTCTGTAGAATAATGATGTCTTTGTAGCAAAGGGTTGTGGGGGCTGGCTGGGCGCTTCTCATGACAGCAGAAAGCACTGGGCCACCACAGCCGAGTTCTCTGAGAGCAGTTGTGGGGGAGGGGGGCGGCCCAGAGCTGGCGAAGTATCCACATTCCGCATACATCACCCAGATGTTACTTTGTTAATCCTTGTTTCCCGCAGGAAAACACTTGCTTTTCCTTTGGGGCATCAGAGTGATGCTACAATTAACATGCGTCTCCCTAGCCAGACTGTACGTTGAGGGCCTTGCCCCACCCACACTGGTCTTTATTACTAGTGTTCCTGCACCTGGAAGAGTCGGCAGTCAATAAATACTAGGTGGATGAATGGATGAGTAAGTGAACCTTTTGTCCCAAAACTCTATCCACACCTACATACCAGTACATTTGCACTGAATTTCAGAGGGTTCATGGTCCTCTTAGTATCCATGAGAGCTGGGTGAGAGCCCCTGTCTTCACAGTGCTGTGGGGGTTATCCTGAAGGTGGCTGGGGACCCTACAAAATGGGGCTTGAGATGGGGGTGTTTTTCTAAGGACAGAAGCAGCTGGAAGCCTGGGGAGGATGGAGAAGGGAGATGGGGACCTGTAGGTACCTGTTGATGATGGTGGGCAGGAAACACAAGAGGAACTTCTCAGGGATAGGGACGAAGGGCAGCAGCCCCAGGTAGTATAGCAGTAACAGCCGGATGACTCGGCATCTGGTGAAGGAGAGCGGCATCTCGGGGTTCTGGGAGGCAAAGGGGGTGGTGAGAGGAGTCAGTCTGCTCCTGGGGGAGCAGAGAGGCTTGGGCTGCAGGGGACACAGCTTTGGAACATTCAGGAAACCCTACTATCTGCGGGATCAAAGCCACATCTTGGCCCAGCTCTCAAGGCCTGAATGCACCCTCCCTGTTCCCAGCAGCATGACTTGACTTGGCTCACATACTTCCTCCATCACTTCACCTCTCCAAATCCCCCAGAACCCCCAGACCCCGCCAGCCTAGGCCCCCAGGTTGGGCAGGGCTCCAGCCCCTGGGAGGAGGGGCTGCAGGAGCAGGGAGGGAAAGGGCCTCACAGCAGCCTTGCACTTCTTCATGATTGAGCTCTTCTCCGAGGCCCAGATGGTGATTTCATTGCGGTCAAAGTGCCTCACCAGGCTGGCTATCTGGAAGGAGGAGGAAGGAGATGAAAGGGAGTTAGGCCTCTCCCCAGGCCGGGCCCTCCCCACCGTGCCCACAGCACCACCTTGTGAATGAGCTTCTCGTTTTCCTCTTTGACCTCCACACTCACGGGCATGCGAGGGAACCTCTGGAAAACATCCTCCAGGCGCACCATGTGCCTGTCTGACCCATGTGCAAAGTGGCCTGGGGGTTATGGGGAGAGAGCAGAGGAGGACGGGTGGGTGGGAGTGGGAACCCAGGGGACGAGGGGCAAGTTCCAGAGCAGAAGAGAGGGCAGAGGTTGAGGCCATGACCCCTCAGCTGGCCCAGCCCAGGCCTCACCCCCATGCTCTTACCTGGTGAGAAGTAAACCTCCAGCTCCTCCTTGTAGAGGGGCAGCTCCTGGGGAGGCAGGGGCATGTCACCAGGAGGCTCAGTGGGGGCTCTCTGGGTCGGGGCGGGGGGGGGGCTAGGGCAAGGCCCACCTCAAAGTCCAGGCTGCCCACATCCTTGTTCACGCCTGACTGGCGGGACAGGTTCTCGTCGTGGGAAACCACCACCACACCATCCCGGGTCAGCTGACAGTCCAGCTCCAGGAGGTCTGAGCGCTGGGCCATGGCGCTAGGGGAGCAAAAGTCAGTGGGCTGTGGGGCACAGGATGGTGGGGAGGTTCAGGGGAGCGGGGGGCAATTTAAAGCGGGATATGCAGCTGATGTGATGCCTCCCGGGGCTCCAGTCACCCAGACTAGGAAGTGCGTGGCACCCCGTGGCCTCATGCCGCGCACAGCTGGCACGACCTCGCAGCTCGGCTGGGCGGGCGCACTCACTTCTCCATGGCCTCCATGGTGTTCTCCAGCCTCTCTCCAGATCCTGTGTGGGGCAGCGCGGTGGGTCCCTGGGGCTGGGCCCCTTCCTCCCCCCTGGCCCCTGCCTCATCACCCCGTCAGCCCAGGTGAGCATCCTCCTTTCCTCCTTCCACATCCTGCCCTGTCACCTGCTCTCCTCCTACCTCGGTCTGCCCTCTTTCTAACATCTGGCCCCTTAGACCTACCCCTTTCTGCTGTCCACCTTGGCACGTGTCTTGCTCTCCCTATTCCACCCTCAGTAGCCTACAATCCCCCCACCCCCCAGCTCACCTCCCCGGTGGGCCCCCAGGCGGGGACAGAAGGCCGGAACCCCAGGTGTGTGCAGCAGGCGAGGCCGGCGCAGGAAGAAGATGGAGAGCACGGCATAGCTGCCCAGGGCGGGCAGGGCATAGTACAGCACAGAGCTCATGGCCACTGCCTCCCGGGCTCCAGCTGCCGCCAGCTCAGCTGTCGCCGGTGAACTGTGTTGCCTTGCCGATTGCCTGGCTGATGTAGGCTGATTCCACCACTGGTCACCACCACGCCCCTGGGACCTGCTCAGCCTGCTGCTGGCCCAGCGCCAGGCTGCAGGGCTCAGCTGGGGATGGAGTACAGGCGGGAGGCGAGGCCAAGCAGCTCTGGCCCTCACACCGCAGACCCTCCGCAGATGGCAGCGCCCCTCTGCTTGACAACACTGGGGAGTCAGGTTCCCCCACACATCTGCTAGAACCTCCCCCCCTGACCACTTGTGCATGTGGCCAGGGGCTACCATCCCTTCCATTCTAGAAAATCCAGGGGTGTGTAGGTGCCGGAATCACCCCCGAATCACCCCAGCCAGTTAGGAAGACATCAGAGAGGGGAGCGGACGGTGGCTGAGGGGAAAAGTGACCCCCACTCTGTCCAGGAGGTGGAGCTTCTTACACTCCCATCTTCAACCCTGGCCAGCGGGGGGGCCAGAGGTGCCCGGGCCAGGTAAAGCCACAGCTGGAGGCAGCTGGGCTGGAGGGTCAGTCTTCAAAGCAGCCATGGCGAGGGGCACGGCATCGGCAAACACAGACAGAGCCAGGGCCACATATACACATCTCTATATTTATATATTAGATACAGGCACAGGTGGGCAGGGGCCCCGGGCTCTCCACGCCCCCGCCTCCACTTCTGCTCACCCACACACAGAAGCAGCAGGAGTTAGATGTGGCAGCTTAGGGGGAGGGGGCTTAGGCAGGGCCCAGCTCCTCAAGGATACTAGCCCTTGAGCCTTAGGAATGTTCCTTGAGGGGAAATGGGTGGGGTTTGAATGAGGTGAGTGGGGCATGGCTGGCCCTGAGTCCCGACTCAGTGCGCCCTATCCCCCACCGTCCCTCAGGAGGTCACAGGGCAGCCGGAGCCCTTCGATTCCAGAACCACCAGAGACTGGGACAGCTGGGGGAGAGGAAGGCCGAGCAGCTGAGGGGAATCTGCTTTGGGGCCACCTGAGCCACAGGTCCTAGGAGCGGGGAGGGAGGGGGCCTGGGCCTGCCTGAAGCCGGAGGCCCGAGCAAAGCGAGGGAAGATGGCCAGGCCCGCCCTGTCCCCGACCTGGGCTGCCGGGGTCCGGGCTGGGCACAGTGTCCATTTTCTAACAGTCCAGCAGGGGAGGGCAGACAGGAGGCAGGGCCTAAACGAAAAGGCAGGCAGGAAAGGAACCATTAGCACCAGGAGAGCACCTGCCGGAGCTCTGACCTCAACCCCTTTCGTTTCATCCCTGCAGTTGAGTGAGATGTGCCTATTTCCTCATAATGGGGACAACCTTAGTACCTGTCTCATGGTACTGCTGCAAGGGTGAGATGAGCTCATATACAGAAACATCTAGAACAATGCTTAGTGCTCTGTGTTTGCTCTCATTATCAGGGCTGTCCCCAGGAAATGGAGCTGCAGAAGTG